TTTAATTTAATCTTTATTACATTTTTTCATTAGAGGTTTTTTCAGAATCTAATGAATCTGAGAGTCCGCAGGGACTGAGGATGGGAACCAGGCCGGAGGAGAGCACTGGGGGAAACCATGGAGAGGCCCCTGACCCCAGCACGGTGAGTAAAAGCCACCGTGGAAAACAGACTGAAGGCACATGCTGATCGGGAATGAGAAATACCGACAGAAAATGTGCTTTAGAGGCCAACTAACAGAACTCACCAGTGCCGGGTTTCCACCTGGAATGTCAGTACCACGGTATTCGCATCCGGTGTGGATGGGAGAACACGGCTGGCAGTTCTCTGTTTTACACTGTAACTGGTGGGGTTTTTCTACTTTGTGCACTTACTGTTGAGTAGAGTAATTGTGACATCAGAGGGAACACACCCAATCATGGTTTTGTGCTTTCCTTTTAAATTTTCATCTCACTTTTATTAGTCTTCTATCCTTTTGTCACTACCTATATATACTGTGTCTTACTTCTCACCAACACTTAAAGGTTATGGTACAGTGTACAGTGTACTAACATTCTAACATCTTAAATTTGGAATGATTTTTGGAAGTTTCTGGACCTAAGGTTCAGAAATATTCAATTGGAATAGATCTTTTCTCATGAATCTCAGCCACCTTAACATCACCCTCTCACTTCTTCAGAAAGTGAGCTTTGCTGTCTGGATGGCCAGGTCATCATGTGACCTTGTGACATCATCAGTGTCTGTATCACATCCATATCAGGTCTATATCTGTGCGGTAGCACAGGGGGTCCCTCAGGAAAGATAAGGCAAGATCTTCAAACAAAATATGAAACTTGGCACAGTTAAACATTTCTTCTCTAGTAAATCTTAACTACTGGCATATTCATTCAAGAACTTACATAGATTGTTTTATTAGAACATATGTTACATCTTATTTTCAAACCTCCCAGACCCATGATGGGGTTTGAACTTTGGAGTTACAAGAGTGCCTCTTGCAGGATGTGAGAAGGGGGGAAAAGATTATGTAAGGGAAATTTAAGTTTGTGAATGGAGAGAATGGTCTGTCACATTAGAGACTCACTGAATAATGAGCAGGTCAAATGTGTTAAATAATGTAATTGAGAGATGCATTTTCCAACACTAAAAGTTTCATATACAGTTTTTAGCTTTGAAGGAAAGATTGACTGGTGTTGGCACAAATCAACAAGGTTGCTTTGTTAAGTGTATTTGTAAGAAGCAAATATTTTCCAAGATACGAATAATGAGAAACTGTGATAGCAGCCTTCTCTTATAAGATTAACTAAGATGAAATAATGTATCTGTATTAACAAAAGGCCAAAGACGCACTGAACCAGGAACCTGCACTTCTCACAATGGATTGGCAAGATAAAGACTGTAGATGCCACCCGCTCCGGCAGCGACTACCATCACATTTAAGGTAATGCTGTTCCTTCTCCGAACACTTGTAATTAGTTATGTGTTCAGTATTTGCTTTCTCATTGTATTGTAGGCTTCCTAAAGGCAAGGATCATATTCTCAGAATTTTTCTCAATGTCTGGCATGCTATAGCTCTCAATAATATTGATTTAAGAACAAACAAATTTTAATTTGGGAAAATTAATCAAGGTGGGAAACTGTGCTAGTTAATACACTGGTTTCCTCCACTAATCAAACTTAAGCAATAAAATTGAGATAGGAGTAGGCAAAAACAAATGTCACAAGAAACAGTCATTTTCGATCACTATGCTCTAACTCCTCATTCTGCAACAAGCCTTTTTCTAGAGATGACTTTGATCCGCCTTTTGAGAAAAATGTGGTCAATAACTATGATTCCATGAGCAGCCGATAGAAAATGCCAAGAGCCTAGAAATACATTATATGATCAGCCCTGGATGGGTGGCATGGTTGGTCATAACCTTGTCCTGGGCACAAGGGTTGCAGGTTCCATTCCCGGTCAGGGTGCGTGCCTAGGTTGTGGGTTGGATCCCTGGTCCGGATGTGTACAGGAGGCAACCAATTGATGTTTCACTTTCACATCTGTGTTTCTCTCTCTTTTCCTTCTTCTCTTTCTAAAATCAATAATAAAAATACACATCTGAAGATTTAAAAAATTACATAATCCTCCAAAGTTGTACATGTAACGTAACACATTTTTTGTGTATACTGACACAAATATCATTTGATCTTGTTTGTGGCATAGAGGAGACCCTTGTCACCCCCACCCCCAACAGTTAAAGTAGAAACTGGGTTTCAACAACATAGAAATATTTTGAAATAAATTAATCACTAACAATATTTGGTTCAAAGATAACTATCAAGGATTGCACAAAGGTGCCAGGAGAAAAACCATCAGATTCATTCATCCACAATTACAGTGCAAGAAATTAGACTCTTCTGGGAACTTCTTAGTAGCAAAGGCCTTAACTGTGTTAATCTAAACTAGAAGACCAATGTGACAGGCAACAAGCATTCATCTGAGATCCAAAAGAGTAGCTATTCAGAAAGTACTGATTCGGGCAGAAACCCAGATAGAGTTCTGATTAGGGGGTGAAGGCAAGGGGCTTTTATAAGAATGGGAAGGGGAATAATCACATTAATAGAAGGCGGGAATTTCTATAGGTGCAAATAAGTTACTCTTCAGCTATCCACAGTGCTGCTAGTTTCAGCAGTCAGAATGTGCACTTCGCAGTTGTTTGGAATACCATGTTGCTTTGTCCCAGTTATTTTGCCCATTTAAAACATTTCAGCCCTGGCTGGTGTGGCTCAGTGGATTGAGTGCCAGCCTACAAACCAAAAGGTCAAAGGTTCGATTCCCAGTCAAGTGTACATGCCTGGGTTGTGAGCCAAGTTCCCCACTTGGGGGCGTGTGAGAGGCAACCAACTGATGTATCTCTTGTACACTGATTTTTCTCTTCCTCTCTTTCTTCCTCCCTTTCCCTCTAAGTAGATAAGTAAAATCTTTTAAAAAATTCAAAGTTTGAGAAATCCAATGGACAAGGCAGTTCCTCTGGATGGTGACTCCAACTCCATTTTGAAGTGGCCCTATTTATATTATTTTTCACAGCTGAGATCGTCATGTCCTCAGAGAACAGAGTGAAGACTGGGTGTGTAACTGTAAATGTACTGTCTCTTTCGTAATCCACTCAGTGGGCATTTATCCTTTGGCTGCAAACTAGTTTTGTTTGGATATGAGGAATCTAGTCAGGAGCTGTTGAAGATTTCCTCTAGGCTGAAATGGGTGGATACAGGAGTTCTATTTATGAGGACCACCATTTTGCAAACTTTTTAAACACTTTTTTGTTGTTGTTCAAAAAACTTATTTACTATAAAGACAAAACACCTTTTAAAAATATTTTTTTAAAGACTTTTTAGATAGAGGAGAAAGGAGGGAGAAATAGAGGTAGAGAAACATCAATGGGTGAGAGATACATCCATCAGTTGCTTCTCACATGCCCCCTAGTGGGGAACCTGGTGTACTACCCAAGCATGTGCCCTTTGGTTTGCAGGCTGGCACTCAATCCACTGAGCCACATCAGCCAGGGCAAGATAAAAACTCTTTTAAAGAGAAACATCTATAAATACAGTAGCGAAATGGGAGGGCAACTGAGTCCAGAGCTCAAGCTGCATGTCACAGCTTGCCCAAAAAGCAGACATAGGGACTGGATTAATAATTGCACTTTTATTAATATCAGAGGCCAGCAATCTAAGAAGTTGGTGGGTTAAAACCCTAACATCCACTTGCCCTTGAGCTTTCAGAAGCCAGTTGAGGGGAAACATGGGAATTTAGGAAGGAGAAATTGCTAGGGGGAGATGAGAAGGGAGTCTCACAGCTTCTTCCCATGTTCTCCATCTTTGTTACAACACCTGCGGTTTATGGCCAGGAAGGTTATATATTCTCTGGTTAGGGTGGAGAGCTAGAAACCATTTGCTCTCAGGTGTCTTTGGTTAGGGGAGATAAGGTCTTGCGATTGACCATCCAGCCGGCTGTAAATTGCTCACACCTTATGGCCTTGTTTAATTTTCTTGCCTCTTTTCCCATTCCACATGCCCAGGTATTTTCCTAGCACCTTATTGTCCTGTCTCAGTAGGAGGGAGAGAACAAGGAGGGTGGTATTTGTTAGAACTTATTGTCAGTTATGAAGTAAAGTACTTTCAATGGTTAATCTGATTAATCTGAACCTACAACACTTTTGTGAGGCAGGGAAAAAACCCAGTTACCGAAGAAGAAGAAACAGAGAATTACAGAAATTTGGAAACTTGTTTAGTTAAGGAGGAACAAAAGAAAATCAATCTTATCAGTTTTTTTAAAGGTTTTTTTTTATTTTCATTTTTTGAGAAAGGGGAAGGGAGTGAGAGAGAGATGTAGGTGAGAGGGACAGGTGGATTGGTTCCCTCCCATGTGCCCCCAGCCGAGGATGTGGCCTGAAACCCAGGCAAGGGCCCGAGACTGGAATGGAACTGCGGGATGTCGCCACACACTGGGCCAACCCCAGTTAATAATGCCCAGTCATACCAGTTTTGATGTTGATGGGTGGTGAAAGATCTCCTGCGTTACAGTGGGGCGGTCAGGACCCAAAATGCTTTGCGACCGTGACCAGTAAGAAATTAGGACAGAGAACCCAAGGGTAGCAAGGTAATCTACAGGGAAGGAAAAGCATGACTTAAATGCATTTCCAGCTGAAATTCAGCAATTCCTGGTATAGGCGTGACAAAGATGCAGGCGAACAGAGTTCTTCAGGAAACAAGTAGGGACGTTTTCAGCAGCCACTACCGCACACTTTGTCCGGGTAACTGTAAGATCAACAGACTGAAAGTCGCCAGCCAACAGGAAGAATGTATTTGCTTACCCTGCAGGGTTCTTCCCTCGCAGACCCCCGAGGATAAAAGGAGCCAAGAGCTGTTTCTCCCAGGGGTTTACTCTCCTTTGGAGGAACCCGAGGGGAGAAGGCGTGGCCAGCGGTGGCCACGCCCTGCGAGAGGCTGGATGCTCGCCTGGTCCGCACAGGCACTCTCTCGGTTCATCTGCGCTTCCCAAGGTCTTTACAGCAGACTTCGCTCCAGGCTCAGTGGCAAAGAAGCCATGGCGAAGTCCAGAGGCCGTCTGTACCTTTGGATGTGTTTGGCTGCCGCGCTGGCGTCTTTCCTCGTAGGATTTATGATGGGTAAGTGTACAAACTCCTTCTCCCCAGCCCAGGGCCGCGCTCCTCCGCGGTTGGGCTCTGCAGGGCTCGCCTGGCCAGCTGAGCTTAGTTAGTGCAGACGGTGAACTCCCGGAGTTTCGGTCAAACTGGAAACCGAATGGAATGCACTTGGGCCTTTCTTCTGAAGTGTGCCTGAAATCCAGATTTATTAAATGCTCGGAGTCAGGGTACTCATGACGATTGTTGGAAAGACAGAGTTGTCACTATCCGCAGGTATGAAGACGGTGGTTTCAGATCCAAGCATTAATGAATCAAAGTTTGTAGTTAATGTGTGCGGCACTGCAAAAACTGTCCTTCCCTCATCATTTATTAAATAAGTATTTGTGGAATGCTCCATGTATGTCAGAGACTAGTTCCCTCAGGGAGAACAAGACAAAGGTCCTTGCCTTGATGTCTAACGTGAGAAAATGAAAAGAACTTCCCTCAAGTAAAACTTGCTGTAACCAACTCAAAATTACATCATACAGCAGAATTGGAAGTTTCCCTGCATTTCTTGTGAATATTCCTGTAAAGCTCACCATAATCTATTTCTTACTTAGGGAAGGGCTATTTTTGGCCTTTAGCTTTTATAAAAGTATAAAAAAGACTTTTAGGCATTATGTGTATACATTACATGGTGTGTATATGTGCATGTGTGTATTCGTCCCATAGGCTGGTTTATTAAGCCTGTCAAAGAAATCGACACGACACTGCGCTATCATCCAAGTATACGGCGGAACCTGGTATCTGAGATGAAAGCTGAAAATATTAAATCATTTCTTCGGTAAGTTTGTTTTGCATATTTGATCTTAAAAATGAAGTGTTTAAAATATTGCAGAGTGAGAAGTGTATTAAAAGTGGTTATATTCATGTGGGTAGTCTTCTTTGTGTGAAATTATACATCACATTCATTTATGGTAGTTTAAAATGTCCCTAAACCACTCTTAGGGTAAAATCTATTTGAATGTTTCAGGAGTCTTTCTTCCCTAACTTTATCCATAGAAAAATTATCTCAATGCTTTATTAAGAGATGTTTCAACTTTATGCAACTTTGGATTGCAACTGAATGTTACTTTTGTTCCCCACTGCCTGGATGTAATCAGCGATGTTATTTAAACATTATGTTCTGCCAGAAAGACTTAACTGGTTGTAAACGCTGATTTCGAGGAAAGGAGGTTAAAGTTTCAGATTCTGTCTGCCACAGATTAAACCTCTCTCTCATGTTGCAAATATACATAACACAAATAGGACAAAACAAGAGCAAAGGAATAAGTGAAAATCCACTAGTCTTCAGGCATGAAAAAGAGTAATATTGGGGGGAGTGATTATGAACTCCTTGAAGGCAATCACCATGACATTCATTTCTATGCTCAAACTATTTTAAAGGATTGTCATAAAAAATACCCCAGCTTTACTGAAGTGTAACTTACATAAATTTCTTCTATATAAAGCCTACAATTTGAGAGTATTGACAGTTGTATAATATACTCAACAAACCACCTGCTCAATTCTTAATACAGAAAATTTACATCATGCCCTTCGCATATTCCTCCCTTCACCCCCGACCCCAGACAATCACGGATCACTTTTATGTCACTATGGATTCCTTTGCATTTTCTAGAATTTTATGCAAGTGACTCATACAGTAAGTTTATTGCTTTTTACTGCTAAGTAGTATTACATTGAATGAATGTATTACATTGTGTAGATGATGGATGTTTGAATTTCTAGTTTTTGATTATTGTGAATAAAGCTGCTAAGAGCTTATGTTTACAGAATTTTGTGTGTATATATGTTTTCGTTTATCTTAGATGAGTGATTCTGGATGATATAACTAGCACATGTTTAACTTTTTAAAAAAATTTATTTATTCTAATTGTTGTTCAAGTACAGTTTTCTGTCTTTTCTGGAATGGGACTTCCATCCCAGCCCCCCCCCCAGTACTCCCCATCTCCCTCCCATTTCCACCCCCCTTAGTTTTTGTCCATTTGTCCTTTATACTTGTTCCTGTAAACCCTTCCCCTTTTCCCCTGAAATTCCCTCCCCTCTCTACTCTGGTCCCTGTCAGCCTGTTCTCAATTCCAGTGTCCTTGGTTATATTTTGCATGCTTTGTTTTGTTGTTTAGCTTCCTGTTAAAGGTGAGATCATATGGTATTTGTCTTTCACCACCTGGCCTATTTCAGCATAATGCTTTCCAGTTCCATCCATGCTGTTGCAAAGGGTAGGAGCTTCTTCTTTCTCTCTGCTGCATAGAATTCCATTGTGTATATGTACCATAGTTTTTTAATCTGTTCATTTACTGGTGGGCACCTACGTTGCTTCCAACTCTTGGCTATTGTAAATTGTGCTGCTATGAACATTTGGGTGCATAGGTTCTTTTGGATTGGTGTTTCAGGGTTCTTAGGATATAATCCTAGCAGTGGAATTGCTGGGTCAAAAGGCAGATTCATTTTTAGTTTTCTTTAAAAATTCCATACTGTTTTCCATAGTGGTTGTACCAGTCTGCAATCCCACTAGGGTCCCCTTTTCCCTACAACCTCTACAACACTTGTTGTTTGTTGCTTTGCTTATGATGGCCATTCTGACCGATTTAAAGTGGTATTTCATTGTGGTTTTAATTTGCATCTCTCTGATAGCTAGCGATATTGAGCATCTTTTCATGTGTCTCTGGATCCTCTCTATGTCCTCCTTGAAGAAATGTCTGTTCAAGTCCTTTGCCCACTTTTTAATTGGGTTGCTTGTCTTCTTAGAGTGGAGTCATGTAAGATCTTTGTATATTTTAGAGATTAACCTTTCGTCTGAAGTATCATTGGCAAATATGTTTTCCCATACAGTTGGTTTTCTTTTTATTTAATACTGTTTTCTTTAGCCACTCAGAAGCTTTATTTTGATGAGATCCCATTTGTTTATTCTTTCCTTTATATTCCTTGCTCTAGGGGACATATTGGTAAAAATGTTGCTGCGTGGAATATCTGAGATTTTCTTGCCAATGTTCTCCTCTAGGACTTTAATGGTGTCACGGTTTATATTTAAGTCTTTTATCCACCTTGAATTCATTTTGGTGTATGGTGTAAGTCGGTGCTCAAGTTTCATTTTTTTTTGCATGTAGTCGTCCAGTTCTCCCAACACCATTTGTTGAAGAGGCTATTTTTACTTCATTTTATGTTTCCACCCCCTTTGTTGAATATTAATTGCCTGTAGAGACTTGGGTTTATTTCTGAGCTCTTTGTTCTGTTCCATTGGTCTATGTGCCTGTTTTCATACCAGTACCAGGCTGTTTTGATTACAGTTGCCTTGTAATACAATTTGGTATCAGGTATTGTGATCCCTCCCACTTTGTTCTTCTTTCTCAAAATTGCAGCTGCTATTCAGGGTCGTTTATGGTTCCATATAAATTTTTGAAGTGTTCTATGACTGTGAAATATACCATTGGTACTTTAATAGGTATTGCATTGAATCTGTAAATTGCTTTGGGAAGTATGGACATTTTGATGATGTTAATTCTTCCAATCCATGAACACAGTATATGTTTTCATTTGTTTGTGTCCCCCTTGATTTCTTTCTTCAGTGTTGTGCAGTTTTCTGCATACAGGTTTTTTACCTCCTTGGTTAGGTTTATTCCTAGGTATTTTATTTTTCTTTTTGCTATATCAAATGGGATTTTTTTCTTGATTTCTGCTTCTGCTGTTTCATTGTTGGTATACAAAAATGCCTTTGATTTCTGGATATTGACTTTGTATCCTGCAGTTTTGCCCAATTCATTTATTAGGTCGAGCAGTTTTGGGATAGAGTCTATAGCATTTTCCATGTATACTATCATGTCATCTGCAAACAGTGACAGTTTTGTTTCCTCCTTTCTGATTTGGATGCCTTTTATTTTCTTTTCTTGTCTGATTGCTGTGGCCAAAACTTCCAACACTATATTGAATAGAAGTGGTAAAAGTGGACAACCTTGTCTTGTTCCTGATCTTAGTGAAAAAGCTTTTAGTTTTTGCCCATTGAGTATGATGTTGGCTGTAGGTCTCTCATATATGGCCTTTATTATGTTGATGAATGGTCAGTCTAATCCCACTTTGCTGAGTGCTCTTATCTTAAATGGGTGCTGTTCCTTATCAATAACTTTTTCTGCATCTATTGATATGATCATGTGATTTTTGTCTTTGCTTTTGTTTATGTGATGTATTACATTTACTGATTTGCCAATATTGAACCATCCTTGCATCCCTGGGATAAATCCCACTTGGTCATGGTGTATGATCTTTTTAATGTATTGTTGCATGCAGTTTGCCAATATTTTGTTGAGGATTTCAGGGTCTCTGTTCATCAGCAATATTGGCCTGAAGTTCTCTTTCTTTGTTGTGTCTTTATCTGGTTTGGGGAGTAGGATGATAATGGCTTCATAAAAAGAATTTGGGAGTCTTCCATTATTTTGGATTTTTTTGAAATAGTCTGTGAGGGATAGGGGTTAGCTCTTCCTTAAATGCTTTATAGAATTATCCTGTGAAACCATGTGGTCCAGGGCTTTTGTGTGGGGGGAGGTTTTTTTTTGTTTGTTTGTTTGTTTTTACTGCTTCAATTTCATCTGCTGTTACTGGTCTGTTCAGGCTTTCTGCTATTTCTTCATTGAGTTTTGGAAGATTATGTTTTTCTAGAAATTTGTCCATTTCACCTAGGTTTTCAAATTTCTTGGCATACAGTTCTTCGTAGTCATTTCTTACAATCCCTTCTATTTCTGTGGTGTCAGTTGTAATCTCTTCTCTTTCATTTCTGGTTGTGTTTATTTGTGTCCCCTCTCTTCTTTTCTTGATGACCCTACTTAAAGGCTTATCGATTTTGTTTATCTTTTCAAAAAAACAGCTCCTGGATTCATTGATCCTTAGAATTGTGCTTTTAGTCTCTATGTTATTTAATTCTGCTCTGATCTTGGTTATTTCTTTCTTTCTACTTGCTCTGGATTGTCTTTGTTGCTGTTCCTCAAGTTCTTATAGGCATAGGATTAGGTTGTTTGTTTGAAATGTTTCTATCTTTTTTTAGGTAGGCCTGTATTGCTATGAACTTCCCTCTTAGGACTGCCTTCACAGTGTCTAATAAGTTTTGGGTTGTCATGAGTTTATTTTCATTTGTTTTCAGAAAGTTTTTTATTTCTTCCCTAATTTCATTCTTGACCCATTTGTTGTTTAATAGCATGCTATTCAATCTCCATGATTTTGAGTGTTTTGTGATTTTTTTTTCTGGGGTTGGTTTCTAGTTTCAGTCCCTTGTGGTCAGAGAAAATGCGCGGTATAATTTCTATTTTCTTGAATGTGTTGAGCATTGTTTTGTGTCCTATCATGTGGTCTATCTTTGAGAATGTTCCATGCACCTTTGAAAAGAATGTGTATTTAGCTTCTTTGGGATGAAGGGCTCTATATATACAGTGAAGTCCATTTCATCTAGGGTGTTGTTTAATGCCACAATATTTTTGTTAATATTTTGTTTGGAAGATCTGTCCATTTTTGACAGTGGGGTGTTAAAATCCTCTACTATAATTGTGTTGCTGTCAAAATCTTTTTTGAAGCCCTTTAAGATTTTCTTTATGTATTTGGGTGCTCCTATGTTGGGTGCATATATATTTATGATGCTTATGTCTTCTTGGTGGATTCTTCCCTTGAGTATTATGAAGTGACCTTCTGGGTCTCTATGGACCTTTTTTTGAAGTTTATTTTTTCTGATATGAGTATTGCTACCTGGCTTTCCCCCCCTGTGTCTTTGCTTAGAAAATTTGTTTCCAGCCCTTCACTTTT